AATTCAACTCATATTTTAAACTTCCTTGTTAAGAGTATTTTGGTCTTGCTAAACATTTAGAAGAATCTAAAAAGTACCTAGAAAAATGGAGTTTATTCTGAGAAACTCAACTAAAGACTAAAGGCATTTATTTCTTCTTGTTATTACACTCTTCACTTCCTGATTTATTTAGACAGCTCATCATGACCATTTCAGGTAACAAAGCAGAAGTGAAAAAACCCAACTTCCTCTTTATAAAATGTTAAAAACTTAAAAGCTAGGTGCTGGTGGCTCATGCATGTTATCTTAGCTATTCAGAAGGCTAAGATCTGAGAATCACAGTTTGAAGCCAGCCTAGGCAGGAAAGTTCATGAGATTCTTATCTCCAATTAAACACCAAAATTGGAGCTGTAGCTCAAGTGGTAGAACGCTAGCCTTGAGCAAAAGAAGCTCAGAGACAGTGTCCTGGCTATGAGTTCAAGCCCCAGGACCAGCACCAAAAAAAAAAAAAAAGGTTAAAAACTTTAGTACTTGGTTAAGAGAATGGAGGGATTTACTTGATTTTACAGAAATGCTTGAAAGAAAATCACAAACCATAATCACCAAATTTACCTTAGGGTTTATGGCTTTTTGATACTTATAAAAATCTGGAAAGTTTAGATTTCCCCCCAAAAGAATTCAAAATATATATTAAGGCACAAAATATTTTGATGTTAAGCCAGGCACCAGTGGCTCACGCCTATAATCCTAGCTACTCAGGAAGCTGAGATCTGAGGATCACGGTTGAAAGCCAGCCTGGGCAGGAAAGTCCCTGAGACTCTTATCTCCAACAAACCTAGAAAACCGGAAATGATGCTGTGGCTCAAGTGGTTAGAGTGCTCACCTTGAGCTGAAGAACAGTGCCCAGGTCCAGAGTTCAAGCCCCAAGACCAACCAAAATATATATTTTGATGTTACACATTGGTAATGGTGCCTCCAGTGTAAACATTTCAAAGGATAAAAAGTCTTATTTAACTGTTACTTGTGGTTTATAAATCCTAAGACATTCATATCAACAACTCTTGGCTTTTTTCAATTCTTAAATTTAGAAGGAATTTTAAAAGGAATTTGAAAGCTTAGTGGAAAAAGAGACAGACAGATAGATATAAAACTAAAGGAGAGGGCTGGGATGTTGGCTCAGTGGTAGAGTGCTTGCCTCCCATGCATGAGGCCGTGGGTTTGAATCCTTAGCATCACATAAGCAGAAAAAAGCCAGAAGTGGCACTGTGGCTCAAGTGGTAGTGTGCTAGCCTTGAGCTGAAGAGCTGAGTGACAGTGCCCAAGCCCAGAATTCAACCCCCATAACCAACAAAAACAAAAACAAACAAAACTAAAGGAGAACTCAATCTTACAAAGTTAACAGATCCACAGAGAGATCTGAATTGGATTTATCTGTAAGTAGAAGATATTAACAAAATTTTAGTAATCTCAAATCATATGGATTTTATAATGTTAACTATATGTGATTATATACACTAAAAAAAGACAATATGGTTAATCTAAAACCTTCTTGCTAAACATAAATGGAAGTCATCAGCACTTTTTGGCAGATTTACTATGTTTTGCTTATTATATAACTATTAAAATTAAGCAACCTGAGCAACATGTCCTGTCTCAATCCTACCTACTTAGGAGGCTCAGATTTGAGAATCAATATTCAAAGCAAGTCCAGACAAAGCTGAGAGATGCTCATCTCCAAATAATCGGCAAAAAAGACGGAAATCAATGCTCTACTACTTGAGAGTGACAGAGCACTAGCCAGGAGCAAAAAGACCAGTGGCAATGGAGAGGCCCTGAGTTCAAGCCCCAGTAAAGGCAAACAATAAACACACAAGAAAGAAAATTAAGCAACAAAAGTATGGTAAAAGCTAAAAGAAAACTGATCACAGGTTAATTAAAAACACTATCAATATCAAACATAATTTAATTTGCACTTTAAAATGTATTATTGCCAAAGTTTAACTTAAAAAGTATTCTAATATGGTTCACTTATTCTAATATACTTGTTTATCTGAATATATTTGTTTATTCATATATATATATATATATATATATATAGTAAAGGTATATGACTTGAGCACAAAACTTCAAAGCTTATTTTTCTACATTATGAAACTCTGGAAACACTTTTGCTTAGAGTAAATGGACTTCTACCTGTAATCCTATCACTTGGGAGGCTAAGGTGAGTGGATAGAGTTCAAAACTAGTCTCAGCTAGCAAGACCCTGTTTTCTAACAAATATTTTATCCCAGGACTTTCACTGTAACTCATCTGAATCATAAGCATTTGCTTAAGAATAAGTATTTCATTATAGTTTACATAGGATGTTTAAGGATAGGATAAGTTCATATAAGATGTCTGTTTTCAATCATGTAACACTAATGAGAATTTAAAATAAGAAAAAAGTGATATTAAAGTGTTCAGTAGCTTTCTGTGAGTTTGTATGGGTATGCATACACTGAAATTTGAACATAGATCCTTACATGTTAGGGCAAGCTCTGCCCCTGAGCTACATCCCCAGACAACCTTATTCTGTGGCTTTTAAGGGGCTGGATACTTTTCTCAATATTTCAAATCGGCGTGTAATGTAATATAAGTCAAATTATTCTTACAGAGGACTCCTAGATCGATCATAAATACTTTGTCTCTAGATCTTACAGAACAGTCAATGGTGCATACTTTGTAAAACTACCCTAGAAAACAAAATTCTTGTCGTCTTATAAAAGTTAACAGAATATTCTAATTTCTACAGACACTAAAATTCTTCATTTATTGAGAAGTCTGACAGACTGTTTTAGAAAGGCTAGCAGGTGCCAGTGGCTCATGTCTGAAAGTCTAGCTATTCAGAAGGCTGAGATTCAGTATGAGCAAGAAAGTCTGAGACTCTCATCTCCAATTAACCACCAAAATGCCAGAAGTGGATATGTGGCTTAAGTGGTTGAGCAAAGCCTTGTGCAAAACAGCTCACAGACAGTACCCAGGTCCTGAGTAGAAGAAGCCTTAGGATTGGCACCGAAGGGGGGAAAATGTATGCAGTTGTTGTTCAAAAAAGGTTATTCACTTAACTTAGGGCCGGGAATGTGGCTTAGTGGTAGTGTGACTGCTTGGCATGCATGAAGCCCTGGGTTTGATTCCTCAGTACCACATAACCAAAAAAGCCAGTAATGGCACTGTGGCTCAAGCAGTAGAGTGCTAGCCTGGAGCATAAGAAGCTCAGTGACAGTGCCCAGCCGCTGAATTCATTAAAAGGAAAAAAAAGAATATGTTCAAAATACATTTTAAATAAATTACATGTGAATTGCATGATGACAAACCCAACTATAATCAGACCCCACGAGGGGGAGGTAGCATCCAAGAAGTCAGGATGCTTCGTCCAGACTTTGTGTTCACATGAGATTTATGTACTAGAAAAGCCTTTCTGAAGTTTTTTAAAAAAATCTATTATTTTTATCTTCTAACATGAATCCAGAAACTTTTTTTTTAAATATTGTTGGGGGACTGGGAATGTGGCTTAGTGGTAGAGCGCTTGCCTGTGGGTCCGATTCCTCAGTACCACAAAAAAACAGAAAAGGATAGAAGTGGTGCTGTGGCCCAAGTGGTAAAGTACTAGCCTTGAGCATAAGAAGCTTAGGGGCAGTGCCCAGGCCCTGAGTTCAAGCCCCAGGATTGGCAAAAATACATAAATAAATAATATGTATATTGGTGAGTTCAAAGAGATGAAATCACTTAGGGGCCGTTATGTATACACAAACCAAAGGCGCATCTGCAAGGCAAAAGCGGTGATCAAATTCTGAAGCCATATAACCTGCGCCTTAGACATTTATAACAGCAAACCAGCCCCACGAGAACAGGCGTGAAGGGGACCAGACTCTCCATCAGGGAGTCGTGACAGCAATATCACTTCCTGGGGAAGGAGGAGCAAGAGGGGAAGTTAAGAGGCCACCCTGACCAGGAAGTGACTCGCCCTAAGCTAGCCCCAATCATATCTAAAAACAGGGGGAGGGGGGGGCTGGGGAGCCCCGACAGCCTGAGGCGGCAAAGTAACTGCTGCGGAAGACGTCGCTGAAAATGACAGAAAAAAAAACAAGTCCACGGTCACCACTCCACGGGGGGGGGGGGGGAAGTCTCCTCTCTCTGGCAAGGAAGCCACTACTAGGCTGTGCCTCGGGTCCGGGAGGAAGAGGAGCGTTGAGGCGTGGGGAACTGGGGCCACCCTGAGGCAGAGGGAAGCGTCCCGCCTGCAAACAGCGCGGGCTAGCACGGGCACAGAGCCTCCTTCCTCCTGGGGTCGCGGCCTGGCTTCCCCCTCCGGGTAGGCCGCACTCCTGTCCTGGGTCGGGGGAGGAGGTAAGTGAGAGAGGCGGACCCCCTTACCTTCTCCTCATCCGACACCCGATCCTCGAAGTCGGCCATCTTGGGCTGCTCTGGCCCAGCCCGGCCGCGGGCGCAAGGCATGGTGGGAAGGAGGCTGAGTGATGGAATCACCGGGGGGGGGGGGGTGGGGAGGCGGGGGGGGAGGGGGGACTCGCGGGGACCCTCCCGGAAATGCGAGCTGTGAGGGCGGCCGGCAGCGTCCGCGCCCCTGGGCGCTGCCTTCCGGGGTTTCAAGTACTGTGTCTCTGCCACTGAGTCACTTCCCCTTTCCTCTACTCGGGCCGCGCGTGTCGAATGCTGTTGGCGCCTTAAGCCGCGGTGATCTCCATGGCAGCCGAGTCCCAGGCACTAAGAGCTGCTCGGGCCCCTGGAGCGACCCGTGGCTTTTCCAATAGGGTGACCAACGTCCTTCATCTCGTTTGGAAGTGAAACCACCGCGACTCCAGCGTCCCTTCTTAGTCCATTCCCTGCAGACTAGGTGCAGCTACCCGTCCCTCCACCCGCCCCAACCAAGGCGTAAACAACCCGCCACCTCCGAGGTCTGTCTCCTCGGCTGGGTTCCCAAGAGTCGGCTTTTAACCTAAGGCCGACTTCGGGTCCGCCACGATCCCAGCATTCCCGACTCCCCGTTTCCGGCCCACCTCCGGGCCCCCCCCCCCACACTCCCCCAGAGCTGCCGGCGCCTGCGGCAGCGGCAAGATGGCGGACGGCGACGGCTTTGGGGAAGCCGCGGCGGCTGCGGCCTTTTTTCCTGCCTCTGCCCACGGCCTGGGCCCGCCGCTGGGCTGGAAAGAGCGGCTGCGGGCCGGGCTGGCGGGATCTGGGGGCTTTTTGTGGTTCGTGGCGGGGCTGGGGCTGCTTTACGCTCTGAGGGTCCCGTTGAGGCTGTGTGACCACTTGACAGCGGGTGAGAGAGAGAGGCCCAGACCTCCCGGGCGGGGACGGGGCGGGGGGGGGGCCCTGGAGAGGCGGGAGAGGGGGGACCCAGAGCTGCGCAGGGGGTGCATGGTCACTGCCGTCCTGGAGGTCTTCGATGAAAGAGTTGACGGTGCCCGATCCGGTGGGTTCTTTTTTTTCTCTCGGGCCACAGCACCGCAGCTGATTGTCAGAGCTGAGCTGCTGCTGGGCACCGGCTCCTCCCTAAAGGTTTGAAGATCCGCCCTCTCCTCCCTGCCTTTACCGGGGGAGGGGGGGGGGGAAGCCACCTGACCACCGGCCCGCTTCAGGTGGGGGACAGTGGGGGAGGAGGGCAAAAGATAGCACTCTCAGACTCGGACACGGAGTGCCGAGATAGCCCTAGCCATTTGTAAGATCCTGTGAGAATCCTCCTGCTCAGCCCACCCACACCCAGACCGCAAAGCTGAGCACGTCTGTGATACGATGATCTCAGAGAAATGTACCAGGAAATAATAAGCCTATCGTTAATGTTTAAAAAAAATACCTGGGAAATAGTTAATTGATAAAAAAGAAAAAATATATTATTTTTTCGCAATACTATTATCTGTTCTTGTAGGCTTTATCTTGAGTGATAAAATAGACCAGTACAGGGAAGGGAAAGAGAGAGGAGAGAGAAGCTCGGTGTGTTTGTTTTGTGGAGCGCTTGTCATAGAGTCGAGTAAAGACTTTTAATAAGTGTTGAGCCCAGTAGATTCTGCAAATACAGTTTTTTTTTCAGTTGTAGACAGGATGCAGTGGATGACGTCAGAGCCTCTTACAATGTCGTGTTACTGTATTTCATTCATACTCAGCAGCAAATTTAGAACACGATGGAAATGTTTCTATTAAGAGATGGCTTTGTCAATACTTTAGAGAGGAAGGCAATTTTCTATTCCATGAAGTGACATGAAACACTGAGATAATGTTCTGAAAAAAATTAGAAGATAGATACATATAAATTCAGATATAAACACTCTAAAGAGCTAATTTCGTGTCCATATCAGGTAAACAAAGTGCTTACTGATAGTTTGCATGCTTGCTGAAATGTGCATTAGGCTTAACGTTTATTTTTATTTATTTAGGTAATTTTGAGGTAGAGCCTCACTATGTAGCCCAGACTGGGTCTGACCTTGAAATCTTCCTGCCTCAGCCTCCCAAGTACTGGGATTATAGACATGCACCACCACACTCAACAATCTTATTTATTTTTCTACTCAAGTCTACTGGATGCACCATTTAGATGAGAGTAGCTGACTTTCATATAAACATTGCTGCTCCTGGAGTTTGAACTCCAGGCTTCACACTGCTAGACAAATGCTCTAGCACTTAATCTCCCACCCTCTATTGCTTTCTAGCTTATTTTTCTGATAGGGTCTTGTGCTTTTGCCTTTTTGCCTAGGCTGGCTTTGGACTATGATCTTCCTACTTACGTCTTTTTGTAGCTGGGATTATAGGTGTAAGCTACCATATCTGGCCTGATTTTTTTTTGTGGCACTGAGATTTGAACTCAGAACCTTGTCTTTGCTAGTTAGATACTCTACCATTTGAGCCACATTCCCAGCACAATTCTTTTCTTTTCTCCCTCTCTTTGAAACATTAGGAGAGAGCAACATTTTTTCTTGCATTATATCATTCTTTACAACTACTCTGAGAAATATTCTAGCACTCCTTTTTTCGGTTTATGTTTTTTACATCAGAAAATGGTAATGATAAGTTTTTTGCTTAAGGTGATACACAAGACCAGTTTTAAAAAGTATTCATGAGACAATTATTTAAAGTGAAGAATGTGATCTAGGATTTCAGTAACTCAGATGCAGGGCTCTGTGCCTTTTCTCTTTGAGCTATTTTGCTGATTTACCAAACACACTGTTTGCTTCCCTCAAATTTAAAATATTGATTTGTATTTCACCAAAGTCATTACAGAATGGTTTTAAACTGCTTTTGTAAAAGTATGCTTGTTTAACTTCTTATCTTTATAGACTAATTTGTGACTTGCAAGTTCTTTAGTTTTTAAATTTTCTCTTGAAGAGCAAACTAAATTATCCTCACTCTGGCATTTTCCCTCCTTGTTGGAGATTGAACCTAGTGCTTCACACATGCTAAAACCTCATTTTGATGTGTGTGTGTGTGTGTGTGTGTGTGTGTGTGTGTGTGTGTATGTATGTGTATGCATGCTGGTCCTGGCACTTGATCTTGGAGCCTGGACACTGTCCCTGATCATTTTTTGCACAAGGCTAGCACTCTGCCACTTGAGCCACAGCTGCACATCTACCTTTTAGGTGATTAATTGGAGATAAGAGTCTCATGGACTTTCCTGCACAGACTGGCTTCAAACTGCAGTCCTGAGATCTTAGCCTCCAGAGTTGCTAGGGGTATAGGCATCAGCCACTGGTGCCTGCCTTGATTCTTTTCTTATTTAAGTGATCATCAGTATAGAATCATACATTTACATATGGACATACAGTTTTGTTTTTTGTTTTGTTTTTAGTAGGGTGGTACTGGGGTTTGAATTCTCAGCCTTGTACTACCACTGGAGGCACTTTCGTACCTTGTGAATATATATGTATATGTATATATATATATATACATATATATATATATATATATGCTATAATGGAAAGTCAGAGTAACCTTTCAAAGAATTTAAAATTCTTCAAATGAATTTTATACTAGATATTATTATAAACAGTTCCTGATTTAGGAATTTCAAATTTAGAACTTTAAAATGGTGTAAAAGCCATATGCATTCCACAGAAATTTTGAATTTTAATCTTTTCCTGGCTCAGCAGTGTAATTTCTCCAATACTGAATAGCAGCAATGAGCTGCTCTCTTCCATTGGGCACAGGATCTAGAGAGTAAGCAAGCTATACTCTACAGTGTCTATATTTGCTAAATTATGATGTTTGGAAGACTAGAGGTATCATGTGCATTTTTCATGTTTTTCAACATATCTTCCTGGGTTTATCAGGATATGATTTCATCATAAAGTCAAGGACCACCTGTACTATTTGTCTCTGCATTGTCTCTGCATTAAAAACACCTACATAATTGTAATTTAAGTTCTTTAAGTTTGTGTGTGTTTTTTTAACTGTGATGTTTTCTCTTTTAACAGTGACAGGATTTTTAAATTCATTGACACCGAAATTCTATGTGGCACTTACAGGAACATCTTCTTTGATATCAGGACTAATATTTGTAAGTAGTTTCCATTTTCTTCATTTACATTTTGGCTTTTATCTAAAGATCCTATGTATATTTATAATAATTACAAATACATATGGATCAGCATTTCCAAATATGTTTGGTATTTGGAAAAAGTTGCTTGGTCAAATAATTTTGGAAACAATCTCTACTTTTACAGATTGGCAGTACTTGTCACATAGATCGTATATTAGGAATAAGTACATATATATATACACATGTACATATATGAAATGTATGAAAGTTTTATTATAGTCAGATATGGGTTAAGATGTGTTACAAACTTAATTCCTGAAATACCTACGTTAATAACAAAAAAAAAGAATAAAACAGTATACAAGTTAAATTTCTCATTTACTTTGAGGACAAGATGATCTGGGAGGTACATGCCGCTTCTGAAAATGACTAAAATATTGTGAAAAATAAAATTTATGTGTCTGCCCTATAGTTTTTCCAAGCTCCCATTTCTCATCTGTAATGAGAAAATATTCATCTCACACAATATGGGAACATAATGAAATGATGTTAATAAAGTCTTGTAACATGGAACATGGTTCAGTGAATATTTAAAAGAATTTTGAGGAGCTGGGAAGGTGGCTCAGTGGTAGAGTGTTTGCCTTGCATGCATGAGTCCCTGGGTTCGATTCCTCAGCAGCACATAAGCAGAAAAAGAGCTTGAGCTAAAGAGCTGAGGGAAAGTTCCCAGGCTCAGAATTTTGGCCCCACGACTGGCATACACATACACACACACACAAAAGAATTTTAATTATTATTACTCTGAGAAATCCCATAATAGATGACATGTGTTAACTGTTATTCAGCTTTTCCTTTAGCGAGATATTATTTTAATATAAAAATATTAAAATTTTGTATAATCCTTACTATCATCCCTAAGATCTAGTGTTTCCTATTGTATATTTTGGGAAAATTCCCTACTACAGATTTATTTTTTTTTATTTTTTATTTTTTTATTTTTTTGGGTCTGGTCGTGGAGCCTGAACTCTGGGCCTGGGCGCTGTCCCTCAGTTCTTCAGCTCAAGGCTAGCGCTCTACCACTTGAGCCACAGCACCACTTCCGGCTTTTTTCAATTGAACCCAGGGCCTCAGGCATGCAAGGCAAGCGCTCTACCACTGAGCCACCTTCCCAGCCCCCTACTACAGATTAAAAAAATCTAAAGGAGTATTTATGCCATCCATGGCCAACAGATTTTTCTGTTCTTTTTTTCATCTGTAGGTGGTGCTCTACAGCTTCAGTAGAAATAATAGTATTAGTGTCAGACTTTTTTTTTTTTTCTACAGTTTCACTTTTTAGCCTACAGTGGCTTTGAAGGATTTTCTCATCTGTGCCTCCATGCCTAGCTCTGGACATCTTTTTAATTTCTTTACTAACTGAACCATCAAACCTGTTGACATATACTCACATAAAGGAATACAGTCAGATATGTGTTACTGACATATATATGGAGAGCAATCTAATATAAAGATTAGAAACTCCAAAATCAACAAACTAAAATAAGAAACCCAATTCTATCAGCACATAGTGACAAGAGGATTTTGAATTCAAGGCCAATCTGGGCTATATAGCCAGCCTGTGTCACAGGAAAGACAAAAAGAAACCCAACTCTGCAATGTAACATGATTTGAACTACAACTAGTCATTTAAATTTGGAATTTAAATAAGTTGTTAATTAAATGACATAATCTATATAAAGGACTTGACACAGATAGCATTTGATAAATATCAGCAATTATTTATTACCTGTTATGAAGTTGATGTAAGAGTTTTAAAAGCCTTTATTTCATATTTGTTTATAAAGAAAGCACCCACACTTCATATAGTGAAGAGCAGTTTATTATTATCTTTGTGATTATACACTTTGACACTATCCAGGGTTTTTTTTGTTTTTTTGGGGGGATCCGGTCCTGGGGCCTGAACTCTGGGCCTGGGCGCTGTCCCTCAGCTCTTCAGCTCAAGGCTATCACTCTACCACTTGAGCCACAGCGCCACTTCTGGCTTTTTTCTTATGTGGTGCTGAGGAATCGAACCCAGGGCCTCAAGCATGCAAGGCAAGCGCTATACCACTGAGCCACCTTCACAGCCCTATCCAGGTTTTTTTATCCAAGCTTTCCCCAATATAAATCTTGTCTTTTCTGGTTGTGTGTGTTTTTTTGTTTTTTAAAAGCTTCTTGTATTTATTAGTAAAACATAGTAGAAGCCAAAACATGACCACATATTGTGGGGATTAACAGTTTATTGACTCAAGAGTGAGCAGGGACTGGGAAGGTGGCTCAGTGAGAGAGTGCTTGCCTTACATGCCTGAGGTCATGGGTTTGATTCCTCAGCACCACATAAACAGAAAAGGCCAGAAGTGGCACTGTGGCTCAAGTGGCAGTGTTAGCCTTGAGCAGAAGAGTTGAGGGACAGTGCCCAAGCCGAGTTGAGGCTCCACGACCCACAAAAAAAAGTGAGTAGAAAGAGAAATTATTGTAGATTGAACATAAACGAATGACATAATAGAAAAACAGACCAGCATTTTTATTTTCTCTCATTTCCCTATAAATATTATAGCCAATGCAGTACAAAATGAATCTATACATTTGGCACCTATGTAGTGCATTTAATTCTGCTATTTACTGAAGCCAAAATAACATTCCTAAAGATTTGAAAACTACTGTTTTATATGTGTATGTTATGCTCTGTGATTATATAAAGTTGTTGCTTGGTGCTAATGGCTCATACCTGTCATCCTGGCTACTTAGGAGACTGAGACCTCAAGATTGCAGTTCATAGCTAGCCATGGGATTTGCTTGGAGTCCTGGGAAATAGAAGTAATTATTTTAAGTGAAAATTTACAATAAAAGAAGAAGATCTGGGCTGGGAACCTGGCTTAGTGGTAGAGTGCTTACCTAGCATGCAACAAAGCCCCGGGTTTGATTCCTGAGCATCACATAAAGAGAAAAAGCTGGAAGTGGTGCTATGGCTCAAGTGGTAGAGTGCTAACAGAGCAAAAAGAAGCTTATGGACAGTGTTCAGGCCCTGAGTTCAAACCCCAGGACTGGCAAAAAGGGGGGGGGAAGGGGGGACAGGGAGGAGGGGGAGAGAGAGGGAGAGAGGGGGGGGAGAACAACCTAGTAGAAGTGTGTAACACAGCTTCATATCCTGTTCTATGGAGTCAGGAAACGTCCCTAAGAAAGTAGCTTGTACAAGTCAGGCATAGGAAGTAGAGGAGGTTGGAGTATCCAGTATTAAAATTTATAGTAAGGGCTGGGAAGGTGGCTCAGTGGTAGAGTACTTGCCTTGCATGCATGAGGCCCTGGGTTCGATTCCTCAGCACCACATAAGCAGAAAAAAAAAGCCGGAAATGGTGTTGTGGCTCAAGTGGTAGAGTGCTAGCCTTGAGCTGAAGAGCTGAGGGACAGCGCCCAGGCCCAGAGTTCAGGCCCCATGACTGGACCCAAAAAAAAAAAAACACTGAGGCTCAGCCAGGCGTACCTGTAATCCTAGGAGGCAGCTAAGATCGATACTACCCCAGGCAGGAATCCATGAAACTCTTATCCCTAATTAACTACGTCCCCCCAGAAGAAAAAAGCCAGAATGGAGCTGTGGGAGAACACTAAATTATGCTACAGATAAAATAGCAATGTGTCATAGTTTTTGTTGTTATGTTAAATAATTGTACAAAGAGTTACAATTCCATAAAGCAGTTTATGAGTACAGTGTCATTCCTTCCTTCATCTTCCCCCATTTTTCTCTCCTGTCCCTACCCACAATTTACATAATGACATATTTATAGATAAAATACATTATTTTTGTTTCATTACAAGTATAAATATTGTGTAAACATATCTAAATTTCATGACAAACCTATAAGAAAGTCATTTTTTACAAGGCATTTTTTTGGGTTTTTTGTTTGTTTTTAGCAAGGAGGGAAGACTATGCATTTAAAGTATTGAATTTAACAAGGAGGAGTTCATTGTGACATTTCCACACATTTGTATAATCTAATCAAATTCACCCTTTCTATCATTCTTCCTAACTCCACTCCCATCTTCTTGAAACAATTTCAACAGATTTAATTAAAAGGAATTATTTGAATGTTTTAATTTGAGTTTATAATTTCCAGTAAAACATGTTTTTGTCTTTTTCATAGATATTTGAATGGTGGTACTTCCATAAACATGGCACATCTTTTATTGAGCAAGTATCAATAAGCCATTTGCGACCACTGATGGGAGGCACAGAAAGCAGCATTTCAGAGCCAGGTGCCCCTTCTAGCAATAGAGAAGGTGAAAACAGCAGACAGAACTTCTCAGGTGACTAGTTTCCAATGTGTTTTCTGAGTTGTGTAAAGATTGAGTTTGGCTATGGATGACAGAAAATCCTGGACAACAGAAAATCCTTAGCAACAGAGTGCTATACCTCATTTGTATGTTGAACCCTAATTATCAAGCTGATTAATATGAAATTATTTTAGGGCCTTTGGGAGGTGATCAGATTGTAAGAATGGAATCCTCATGAATGAGATTAGTGACTTTATAAAAATGACTCCAGCAAACTGTTTACCCCTTGCACCCTGTAAGAATTTGCCAAGAAGATGCCATCTATAAACCAAAAATGTAATCCTCAGCATCACCGTAAGCCTCCACTATAAAAAATATAAGCCACTCAATTATAGCATTTAGTTATTATAACATTCCAGACTAAAACACAGGAAGAACTTTTATCTTTCTTGTTAATATAATTGATCCATACTGGTATGGAGAGCACTGATCATCAGAGACACAGACCCCTTCTATTAGCTTGCCATTTCACAATGCAGTTTTTTACCTGTGATCCAACATACTTTCTCTAGTGTTAATGCCTTCTTATCTACTTTCTGTTCAGCAGGAAGAAGAGAGGGCCAGGATATTCCTTTACCTGTCCCCACACCTCAATAGGCAACAGGATACTTTGAGATATGTTACATACTATTTAATTTAACTTATCACTAGTCAGACATTTGTCAAATGGCCACTAATAGGCTGTAAGGGAGAGTAGAAATCAAAATATTTCCCTCAGTGCATATATGTACAGCAGTCAATCAGGGGACATTATTTCTGATAAAGCGGAAATCTGAGACATTAGCTATCTCTACCAAGAGATTGAAGTAGGAAAAAAGATTGAGATTTGGCCAAACTCAATATTTTTATTTTCTGTATGTTTCCTTATAATATATCCAGTATAAAAAGCAAATCTTAATAATGATATATAATTAGGAAAACGAAGTTTTTAAATAAAAATAATTACTTTCAAATAATTGAAATGTGTATTGTATTTATCATTTATATTATATTTTTGGATTATTGTTCCTCTTATTTTCTGTAGGTAATAATGATACCATAATAGGGACTGGGGGTAGCTCAGTGGTAAGTAGCATGTTTGAGGCTCTGGTTGTAATCCTGGCATCCCTCTCCTAAATGCAGTAATGTTACAAAGGAATTAATTCTATAGGATTCCCATAATTTCTTAATTGCTAAATGAACACAACCAATAGAGTTAGGATAATTTAGTAGAAAAAGAATGTTGGAGTTCAACTGCTAATACTTTTTTTGATGATGTCAGGCAAAGTTCCTGAGGAAGTACTGTTTAATTGGAGCCCTGAATGACTAGGATGTGTGGGAATGGGATTATCCTGCAGGAGTGCATAAATGAATAATATTTTTCTTTTCTCTTTTCTTCCCTCCTCCTCCCCACCCCTCTTTGTACTGCGAACTCAACTCAAGGCCTTGTACTTTAGGCAAGCACTCATTTAAGCTTGTACCCAGCTCTTTAGGCAAGCTGCAGATGACTAAGCAAGCATACTTACCACTTAAGTTTGTACCCAGCTCTTTTGTCTTATTAAGTCCCAGTTTTTTTATTTATACATTTTTGATGGCTTCTGATAGACTAAGGATAATATCTAAACTCTATAATATGGTAGATAAGCTCCTTTAGCAATTTCTCAAAGTCTATTTTTTAACATTATTTAGTTTTCCATCTTACTTCCTCCATACCCATTTACTAGCCTAAATGTACTAAGCAGTTTTATGCTATTTCCTGCTTCCTAGGCTGGCATACTCATCTTTTATAGTAATTCTGTGTCAGCTCATATTTTACCTCCTCTGTAAGCCTTCCTTGATTTCTAAGAGAAAAAACTCATCACTTTTTTGCATCTTAGAATAGAAGTAATCTCTGTTACAGTACTTGTTACACAGTTCAGCTCATTGTTTTCATGATTGACTTTCATTCTGTATATAATGAAATTTAAAAAGTCATTTCAGGTGCTGTGGTAGACTCCAAGAATACAAGAATTAACATCATTTTAGGAGATCATAGTTGAGGGAAAACTAAAAACTAAAGATATAACCACTTTGCACTATAGTAAATGTTATAACTGATTTATGAATAAAATGCTATAGAGACAGAAATAAGAAAAACTAGATTTAATTCTATACCTTTTGAGAGGATACTTTATGCTTTGTTCAAATTTGTAACACTATGGCTAGCACTGCTTAGCACATAGTAGGCTGACAATAAATATTGGTTAAATAAAGATTTAAATCATATGATTAAATTTTATGTTTTACTTCTTTCCCTCATTGTTTTTCAGAATGCAAGGTATGGAGAAATCCTCTAAACCTATTCAGAGGAGCAGAATATAGGAGGTAATATATTTTTCTTTTGGTGTAAATATGGCACCTGTCTCTGAGTCAAAGTACTATAAAAATTGTGTGTGGGTGTATGTGTGTGTCCATCCAGGTCTTACTATGTAGCACAGATTGGCCTTGAACTCACTTGTGAATCTCCTGCCTTAGCCTCTAGAGTACAGAGTTGATAGTCATGCACCACCAAATGTCAAAAAAGTATTTTCAAATAAGCTGGGTACTGGTGGTGCTACTCAGGAGGCTGAGATTTGATGATCATGGCTGGAAGATAGGCCGCCATTTGAGTCATGGCTCCACTTAAGGCTTTTTGGTAATTAATTGGAGAAAAGAGTCACAGATTTTCCTGCTGGTTCTGGGTTTGAACCATGATCCTCAGATCTCAACCTCCTGAGTAGCTAGGATTATAGGCATGAGTCAAAGGAATCAGGTCTTACTATATAGCCTAGGATTTCCTATATCTCATGATCATCCCACATTAGCCTCCTAGTAAAAAAATGTGATTTTTAATTATTGTACTATATTTAATGGTTATACTACATTCTTTCATATCATAGTTTGCCTACATCCCTTCCATACAGTTACTAAGATTATTATTTCACGGTTAACATTTATACTAAATGGATAGTTTATATAATAGTCATAGCTTGGTGTCAGTGGCTCATGCCTGTAATCTCAGCTACTCAGGAAGCTGAGATCTGAGGACCGTGGTTCAAAGCCAGCCTGGGCAGGAAAGTCTGTTAGAGTCTTTTGTTTTGTTTTTCGTGGGCCTGAACTCTGAGCCTGAGCGCTGCCCCTCAGCTCTTCAGCTCAAGGCTAGCGCTCTGGCACTTTGAGCCACAACGCTACTTCCGGCCTTTTTTTTTTTTTGCTTATGGATACTGAGGAATCGAACCCAGGTCCTCAAGCATGCAAGGCAAGCGCTTTACCACTGAGCCACCTTCCCAGCCCCGTCTGTTAGATTCTTATCTCCAGTTAATCAACAGAAAACTGGAAGTGATTGGCACTGTGGCTCAAGCCATAGAGCACTAGCTTTTACCTGAAGAGCTGAGGGACAGCACCTAGGCCCAGAGTTTAAGCCCCATGATTGACCAAAAAAAATGTAGTCATAAATATATAATTGTTTCTTTTCAGCTGATTTCTAACATTTAAATTTCTAAGTCAAAGGATATAAACAAGTAATTTTCTTCCTTTATCTGTGTGTGTATATGTACATGTGTGTACATGTATGTGCCAGTACTGGAGCTTGAACTTAGGACCTGGGTGCTGTAATCTTATCTTTTTTTCCTCAATACTAGCATTCTACCACTTGAGTCACAACTCCCCCTTCTGGCTTTTTGTTGGTTAATTGGAGAGAAGAGTCTCATAGATTTTCTGCGTGGGCTGGTTTTGAACCATAATCCTCAGATCTCTAGCTCCCAAGTAGCTGGGATTATAGGCATGAGCCATTGACTCTAGGCTTTCCTTTTATTTAAAAAAAAATACTATTGTGGAAATTAAAAAAATAAAAGTAGGAATAGTAGTATAATAGAATTTCATATGCTTATCTCCCACCTAGGTATGACTGTTTTAAGACTCTTGATAGCTATTACCTAATAGATTACTAGAAAGAGAATTATAAATATAGTAAACATACCTTATTTGTGGATTTATTACTTGTAGTTCTCACCAAGCCAGGAAAAAAATAAATAAAAATATCAAAAGAGGCCAACCACTAGTGGATTACACTTGTAATCCTCAGTACAGGAGGAGGCTGAGATCTGAGGATCATAGTTTGAGGCTAGCTCTGGCAGCAAAGTCAGTGAGACTTATCTCTAATTAATCACCAAAAAGACAGAAGTGCAGCTGTGGCTCAAGTGGTAGAGTTAGCCTTGAGCAAAAAAAGCCAAGCAAGAGTGTGTGATCCTGTCCTGAGTTTAATACCAGCACACCCACACATAAAAAAATCTGAAAAGAAATTGTGGAAACAAAATTTGTAAATTCCTGTATGTGCCTTATACGACCCATTTTATGTAGAGAAGCTCTCAGTAAGTCCTATGTTATTGCTAGTTCTATTTATCTCATTCTTTCTGGGTATTTCCCGTCCTTGATTTTATGGAAATACGCCTTCCATAATAGCATATGGTGCCCCAAAGCAAGGTAAAAATGAATGCTCTTAGTTGAAGTGAGAAAGTAGGAAAAAAAAGAAAAAAGAAAAATTTGTTCAAAGGCAGCATGCCTTCCACAGAAGTTGGGTGGCATTATGAGATAAATGAATTAAGCATCGTCAGTACATTATTGCACTCTACATCCTGAGCATGCTTTGCTTTTTTCCTCAAGGGCATTTTCCTTGTAAACATGTGGATACCAAGTGTTTACAGTGCTAATTTACATTTATACCAATAGTGTGCAATATATATCTCATTTCATCCTTAATAATATGTTTTCATCAATTTGATAGATAAGAGTAAAATTCTAGCCAGGATCCTGTGGCTTTTACCTGTAATCTTAATTAGGAGGCTGAGATCTGAGGTTCCTGGTTCAAAGCCAGCCCTAATAGACAAATCTGAGAGATTTTTATCTCCAGTTAACCAACAAAAAGAAAAGGGTGGTACTCAAATAGTATAGTGCTAGCCTTGCTTAAAAAGCTAAGAGAGCTGGGCACCAGTGGATCACTAGCTACTTAGGAGGCTGAGATTTGAGGATCACAGTTTGAAGCCAGCCTGGGCAAGAAAGTCCTGAAACTTTCATCTCCAATTAATCACAGAGAGAGCTGGAAGTGATGCTGTGGCTCAAGTGGTAGAGCACTAGCCTTGAGCTAAAGGAGCTTAGGGATAGGCCCAGAATTCAAGCACCAGGATTAACAAAAATAATTCAGGTTAACAAAAATAAATCGGCTTGAACTCAGATCCTGAGTTCAAGCCGAAATACCAGTGCAAACATACATGCACAAATACACAAAATTTATAAAGAAATCCAGTATTTTGTGCAAGTACTATATATATAGTCATAATTTTTAGTGATTAATGATTAAAAGATCAGATGAAATTCTTTAAAGGATAACAGTAATGAGATTTGACATTTATAAATGTTGTTAATTTAACTTTTTCTTAATCCATTGTAGGGTAGAAGAATAAGAAAGTTAAATTTTTACTGTAATATGGTCTGCAAATTTTTTTTATGTTTTGATAGCATTTTATTTTCTTGACACATAGTTCAGGCTAGCCTTGAACTCTCAGCCTTCTGAGTTGCTAGGATTATAGCTGTGTGCCACTATACTTGAGTTTTACTTTTAGCATTTCATTCTAATTCATTGAGAATATATTCAAGCATTTAATAAGATATATATGTATATACATATATATGTGTGTATTTCTCAAATTGTTTAATTCCTTTAAGTCTGAATTTTAAAGTATTATTTATTGAATAATTTGTTTTCTATTTGTTGTTTTGGGTATTTTATCACCTCATGATAGTTTGTATAGCTTATATCTTTTGATATTATTGAGTATAATAAGCTTTAAGAACACTCTGAAATAGAATTTTCAGTCATGTTTTTGGGGTTTACTGTCTTTTTAAATAGAAAGATGTTCTCTTATGCACAATTTAAACATTTTCTTATGTTTTGGTAAAGATACACTTGGGTGACTGGTAAAGAGCCACTTACCTACTATGATATGAACTTGTCAGCACAGGACCATCAGACATTTTTCACTTGTGATACTGATTTTTTACGTCCTTCAGACACAGGTATGTATTTTTTTGGTTCATGGTGTACACAATGACTATGAAAAAGTTTTTTAGTGTTATTATAATACACTTGGCTTAGAATTTTTTACATCATCAATATCACCAGCAGCAGCATTATTACTGTTATAGTACTGGGGTTTGAACTTAGGGTTATGTTTGGTAGGCAGCCATAACCTTGGCCCATTTATGTATGTATGTATGCATTATTTATTGGAGGTAAGAGTCACATAGACTTTCTCAGTGTAGCTTCAAACCACAATCCTCAGATCTCAGCCCGAGTAACTAGGATTACAGGCGTGATCAATGGGCACCTGGCTCCTCAGTCCTTTTTAATTTAGTTATTTTTCAGATAGGGTCTCTGACGTTATAAGTATGTGCCTATATATCTGGAATTTACATTACTGACAAACTCAAATTAAAATTAAATATGATTATAAACTAGGTTAATACATTCTTATGAGATTTTCAAATATTCTTCTTCTTTTATTTATTTTTTTGGGTCCGGTCGTAGGGCCTGAACTCTGGGCCTGGGCGCTGTCCCTCAGCTCTTCAGCTCAAGGCTAGCACTCTACCATTAGAGCCACAGCATCACTTCCAGCTTTTTTCTTTTTGCTTATGTGGTGCTGAGGAATCGAACCCAGGGCCTCATGCATGCAAGGCAAGCACTCTACCACTGAGCCACCTTCCCAGCCCCTTCTTCTTCTTTTATTATGTAGATACATTTCAGATAAAAAAGCCTTGTAGATCAACCAGTTCAAGTATACATAAAAATTACACATAAAAGAATAAGAGAGTGTATAAATTAAGGAATGGCATGTGGAAAACTATAAAATATATTTTGTTATGAGATAAAAATATTATAAGACATAAGTTATAAGATATAAGAAACATTATAAGATAAAATATATATAAAGAAATGTTTACATTTAGTTCTCCATAAGCTTTTCTCTGTGACAGAGTATTGAGGACTGAGATGTGGCTCAATGATAGAGGGCTTGCCTAGCATACATAGTTAAGCCCTGAGAAGCAAGTGTTGAAACTTATGGGCTTCAAGATAGATGTTTTCATAAGTTCTACTATTAATGCCCTCACTTTCCTTATCTATCTGATGAGTTACATTTTATACTTCAATATCCAAATTAAAAATCAATTTCTCTAAAGTAGCCTTCTCTTGGCTATTCTGTCGGAGTTGAGCACTTTGGTCTTTAGTACTACAGTACTTAGTGTAAATCTTATAAATTAATACTGATTTATTAATTCAGCCAACAGCATTCATTTGTTAATGTTATCACATTTTTGCTTTTATGTTTATCTTCTCTAACAGAATATGAAGCCTTTTATAGATCAGGAATATATTCTTTTCATTTTTGCATCCCTGTCATATAGCACATTGTTTGTCATACTATAAATAATATTCATTCTTTCTTTGTTAAAAGTATATATGAGTGAGCCAGGTGCTAGTAGCTCACACTTATAATTCTAGCTGCTCAGGAATGTGAGATTTGAGAATTGTGGCTCAAGACCGGCCCAGGCAGGAAAGTCTACAAGACTCTTATTTCCAATTAACTAGCAAAACATTGGAAGTGGAGTTATGGCTCAAATGGTAGAGCACCAGCCCTGGGGTCAAGCTCAGGCCAGTACACACACACACAAAAGTATGTATAAATAAATGACATTGGTGTCACACATGTCCTAAACAATTTCACTGATAGCTAGCAGTTGGCAAATATTTATTAGGAATTAGATATTCAAAGATGTATTGGCTTGATTTTTTAAAATCATTTTATGAAGTAAATACTATTACCAGCCCATTTTAAAAATAAAGGGACTGCCCTGAGTCCAATAGCTACTTAATGGTAAGACTGGGTTTCAAGCTCAAGTTTTTTTTTTTAACCATCATATGACTGCTGCTTCTCTTGATTGATAAAGAAAATTACTAATATGGGTCTGAAAAAGTCAGTTTCTTAGCATTAAAAATCAGTTCAATGTGATACATCTTTGCTGTATTAAATGTATTAAGTGTAGATAGTAGCAAGAAGTCTAGAGATCTATGAAGAAGTCTAGAGATCTTACATAAAATGTTCAGCTACAGGGGCTGGGAAGGTGGCTCAGTGGTAGAGCACTTGCCTTGCATGCATGTGGCCCTGGGTTCGATTCTTCAGCACCACATAAACAAAAAGAAAAAAGCCAGAAGTGGCACTGTGGTTCAAGTGGTAGAGCGCTAGCCTTGAGCTGAAGAGCTGAGGGACAGCGCCCAGGCCCAGAGTTCAGGCCCCATGACCAGACCCAAAAAAAAAAAGTTCAGCTACAAATAGAGGAGAAAAAACAGAATTACTTTTTGTTTATATGCTTAATGTTTATATTAATAACAAATATATATAGGATGAGGGATATGGCTAAAATGATGAGTACCTACCTAGCAAGCATAGAACCTGAGTTCAAACCCCAGTATTGACAAAAAATATATATGTGTAAAGGAAATTACTGGCAATAGAATATTAATATTGTATGTTAACTTTAACAACTGAGATGACTACATATTAGGTCTCATTTCCCTCATAAAATTACAACCATCAGTAGTCTTTTCAGATAGATCCTTTGGCTTTCCTAGGTGATCTTAAAACATTTTTGCTTGAGTATCTTCTGAAATATTTTTGAAGATCTGTGAATCCTTTCACACATTTTTAAGTTGATAGTATAAGCTTAAATGATTACAACAAATAGGTTTTTGGCATATTGCAAAATATAGAATTTTTTTAAGTACTGTACCTTATATTTAAATGTATACTATGGAATCACATGACTGTTTTTTTCTGTGTTTGTGTATGTGTGTATATATGCTAGGACTGAACTCAGGGCCTCTACATGGGTCCACAATCTAATGTTGAACCACACTAGTCTCTGCTATCAAATAGTTTGACACATACCATTATCCATTGAAAACTATATAAATAAATACCCTTTTACAATAGTAAAATTTTAAGTTCCTTTGGTTGATTGGTTTGCTTTGTTTGCTGCTTGCTTTTTTTTTCGTTAGGAGTCTTTCTATGTGGCCTGTCTTAGACTGGCCTCAAATTCAAGAACTTTCGTTAATGGTGGGATTCCAGGAATGCACTACTCTTCCCAGCCTAGAGATCCTTTTTCTTAAATGTTCATCTATTCTGCACCCTAGTATAATTTTATAAAATATTTTTATTTGAGAGTCTTTTATCAAACTTGCAGACTTTCCTACAATAACATTTTATATAAAATTATGAAGTTTAAAATTCATTTGACCATACAATTCGAAATGTTATATCTTAAATTTTTTATTGTTGTTGTTTTTAGTGGAAGTTAATTTATTTTAACTGGTAAATAACATAAAAGTCCATATAGCAATGGAGAAACATATGAACATTATGTAATATTTAAATTGAGTTAAACATATTTAATTACATTTTTGTCAAATCCTTGAAGCTACTTACTTAGCAGTTTAAATTTAAGAATATGTCTTTCATGTAACCTAATTGGGTGCCTTCATTGTCAGTACTATCAAGCAAATTATACTTGTTTTCTGACAGAAAATGTTGACTTTGTTTTTCATTTCAAATATTCTTACATGCATCTCCATGACAGCCAACTATACTCAATTCACCTTTTTTTTTTTTTACTATGTTGCCGAATTTTCTTCAAAGTATAAAATACCAGAAATAGTTCATCTGTGAACTAATGTCAAAGAAAGGTGCTTCAATTCACCTTTTAAAATAGAAAGACAAATGTTGAAGCTCTGCCTAGAGCTTATCACTTACCCAAAAGAAGGCTCTTATATTTATTATTTCTTACTAATGTGCCCTTTGCCTTTTTGTAAAGGATACTTTTAACATTAGGAGTAATGCATTTTTTAATAGTAGTTGGGTATGGGTACTAATGGAACTAATAGAAGTGTTATCACTCCCTGATTTGAAGCATCCAGGAGCCAGAATACTCTCTTGCTTACTGGCAAGTTCCACTGTTCAAATAAATGAGTAAGAGTCAGGAATCCCTTTAATATGGTACATTGATTTACAATCGCTATCTACTGCTGATATTTGACTTGTAATCCCAGCACTTGGGATTCTAAGGAGGCTCTAGAGCCCAGGCCTGTTTAAATAAACAAACAAAAGCTACCCCCAAACTCCATTGTCCTTTTTTATATTATAGGGCAATGTGTCTTAGAAAAATTCTGAAGGGTTAGGAAGCAAATCTTTTGTAGAATAGAAGGGTGTGTATATATGTCTCTCAGAGGAGGGATATAGGGATTGTGGATACGTAGGAAAGGAAAACTACTTTGCAAACACATTGATCAGAGGAATATTCTTCAGGTAAATCAATTCTAGCAAAAAGTCAGAAAGAGTTGAATAAAGTCAAGGCTTTAGAAATTGATTCCCTTAAATCTATGTGTGCCTTTTTGGTCCTTGAAAAGGTTTCATGTATGTCCAAAGGTATGTATAATCCAGTTAAAGATTGAACTCAAGGACAGACTTTTATTTGTTGAATGACAATTCAGAAATGGATTGTCCCATCTTGATCCTTTCAGACATTTCACATAAAGGCAATACTTTTTTATTTTGGCCAGTCCTGGGGCTTGAACTCAGGACCTGGGCACTGTCCTTGAGCTTCTTTTTTTGCTTAAGACTAGCACTCTACCACTTGAGCTACAGTACCACTTCTGGCCTTTTCTGTTTATGTGGTACTGAGGAATCAAACCCAGGGCTTCATGCATGCTAGGTAAGCACTGTACCACTAAGCCACATTCCCAGCCCGACACAATACTTTATATTAGCAGCTTTATACTAAAAAAAAGGCAATGGCGTGTGTGTGTGTGTGTGTGTGTGTGTGTGTGTGTGTGTGAGAGAGAGAGAGAGAGAGAGAGAGAGATGGCACATATCCCTTGATTTATAACCATCCATTACATTATTAGATTTTTGTTATTTTACTGATTTTTCTAAGTCAAAGAACAAACTTACTCTCAAGGGCCAGCCAAAAAGAATATTTAAACTTTTGTTTTTCTTTTTAACATTTAAAAATCAGGATCCTGAGGAAATGGTATATACCTGGAGTCCACTGGGGAGGCTGGAGTGGGATATACACTTGGTCCAGGAGTTCAGCATCAGCCTAGGCAATAGGATGATAACCTGTCTCAAAAAGAAAACAAGTCGAGAGATTTCACATTAAAATCTAAATTTACACCTTTAATTGGAAAGTAGGAAAGACAACTTTGTAGAAATCAGAGAGAGTTAAGTTGTGCATGTGTTTTTAGTTCTTTTGTGTTTCCTGCTTAGCTTTTGTAGGCATTTACATTTGTGATCCCTGATGTGGTGATTTCTGCTGTTCTCTTTTGTTAAATATTGTTTAACTTAAAAGATAAACGAGCAACTTGCTAATTGCTTGTGTTAATTATTTTAGGTATATCATGAGCTCTTAGAAAATTGATTAGTAAATCAGCAGTTTGCTTTAAATTATTCCTAGGCCTTATTTTAGAAAAAAAAATTCATTTTTCTTCCTCAACTTTATTTCCGCCTTTCTTTTAGGCTTAGGGCTGCCTTGATTGTGAAGAATAGTCTTGAAAGATTGGATAGAGTATATGAAAACATAAGAATAAGAAAAGGTACCTACAAAGGGTTTATATAACATCACTAGAAATTGAAACAAATGAAAATGAGATTGCCTTCATGTATTAAAAGACTTGATCATACAAATTGAGTATGGAACAGTTGTGACTAGAAGTATTTTAGAGTTCAGATTTTTTCAATTTTGAGAATATTTAATTTTGAAAATGAGATATCTTGGAGATGCAGCCCAAATTTAAGCACAGAATTCACATATGCTTCATATATACTTTATATAAATAGATGAAGGTAGTTTTATATAATATTCTTAGTGTGCCTGTGTTTTGACTACAATCCATCACGTGAAGTCAAGTGTGGAATTCTCTATTTGTAGTTTTATGTTTTAGCTTTTGGAGCATTTCAGATTTTGGATAAGGATTAGGGGCATTCAACCTATAATATATTGGTAAGAAAGTAGAAATACTGTCACTCTCTGATACCTCAACAGTACAAATGAATATTGAGGAGTTTGGGTGCATATATCCAAGGTCTTTTAAAAGGTACATATATTTTAACCAACTGGAACTGTTGTTCTAGAAAGGAAGTATTTTATCAACTATAACAAGATAGACAAAGGCACAGAAAGATTGTTGTAATATTTTTATAGCAGGAAAGCATTCCATCAAAAGGAAAATGGTTACAGAAAGAATGTTACAATATTTTTATAGCAGGAAAGCATTCCATCAAAAGGAAAATGGTTTCAAAAAGTGTGATACATATCTAATATAGCAGAATACCCAATAAAATGTTGGTTAAGATTCAGCATTAAAGTTTTATTTCTAAATATCATGTAGCTTAAAGAAAAGAGACTCATCAAAAATTTCAAATCCTAATATACTTCATTTTGGTATTTTAGAATTTTCACAGAATGATGTTCTCTACTTGGTCAGTATCAAATGAGCGCTGACTTGCATCAATTTGTCAAGTTTAGGAAGCACTAGCTATCAGCTAACTGGTGACATGTTTGATATGAGAAATATAGTTTTGTTTCACAGTGGAATATATTGTCTCCTTTTCTAAGCCAAGACTAATATTTCGTTTCCAAAGGAAAACTCATTTTCCACATTATTCTTTCTGAAGAGTTGTAGGTTTTGTTCCAAAATCAACACTCATAGGTTCTTTATTTTTCTCATCAAACTTAAAATAGGCAGACTTAGAAATCTACTTTAGATTTAGAAATCTACGTTGTTTACTTGTTTGTTCATTTAACTTACAAGAATCTTAGCACTTATAGTGATATCTTAATTGTGGTACAGCAAATGGTAGCAAAACTAGTACTGTATTTCCAGAGAAATCCTAACTCAAGGCTTTTATTAAGTTCTGGCAAAGCTGACATTTCCCAGAAATGTACAGTATTTCTAATTAGTTTGTTTTCCCTTTCCAGTTTTCATACAACATATAATTTAGATATCTTTCTATAGTGAATCATTGAGCAAAGACTTTGTTTTTAAGTTTTTGTATATTTCTAACAGTTCCATAGAATCTTTCATAATGGTAAAAAGTAGAACCATATTGATTATAATCTAATGTATTACTCAAACTTAATTTTAACATGCACTTATATATACATATGTTTATATGTAATAATGTTATAATAGTTAAGTTCCTTACATGCTGTTATTCATATAAATCATAGAATTTTTTTACTATATGAAAACTTTCCAAATTTAGTGTAAATTTCTCATACAATTAATGTAAGCTAGTAACTCAGTTTCTTGTTTCATATGTTTATGAACATGTTATTTAAGGTTTTAGTTGCTCCTCTAGAACATTCTTCATACAATTTGCATAAGATTATTATTTATGTTTATCATCTCATCCACTTTTTGTAATATTTTTCCTACAGTTATGCAGAAGGCATGGAGGGAAAGAAATCCTCCAGCTCGCATCAAAGCAGCCTATCAAGCTTTAGAATTAAACAATGAGTAAGTTTGAAATATATGGAAAATAAGTTTATTTTAAAGGAAACACAGGAAAATGCTTTTATATTTCCTTTTTTCTACTCCTAAAACACGTAGAGTCTTAACAGTCCCCTTTCCTTTTCTGCATACTAAGAATAAAATTTGCAGCATTCATTGGACATTTGTATTTTGCTTCTAAAGTTGTAAACATGTATATGTTTTTGAGTAGGCACATCTTAGAAATTCCTTTTAATTTGGGTAATATTGATTATTGGTGATAAGACTGGATAGTTAAAAGTCTACTAAAATACTTAGGCCATTGTTTTAATTTTTTTTCATTTAAATCACTCATTGAAAGCATTTATTCAGTCTTGAGAACTTTAGTTGCTAATGGGCTTGAAGGCTTAGAAGATTAAAAATAAATCAAATATAGCTCTCACAACTTTTGTCTTCATTTTTATAGCACTGTGTCCGCTTTATGTCTTGAGACAAAAAAAATACAAAATTTTGAGTCAGTAAATGTTCATATCAATTAAGTCTATTACCCACTAAATAAATGTCAAGAGTAAAAATATATGCCCAGTTGAGATGGCTTAATGAATGCTTCCAGAATAATGTGAATTTAGAGTTTTCCCTTGAAAGTCTCCTGTCCTTATTAAGAAGACCATCTTAAGGTAGAGCAAAATGGTAGAATAGAGAACTCTAAAAAGCATTGACTAAGACTAGGCTCAGTAGCTTATGCTTGTAATTCAGCCACTCAGAAGGCAGAGATGGGAAAGATCATGGTTCAAGGCCAGCATGGACAAAAATGACTATTAATAAAGGAGGCATGGTACATGCACTCATGGTCCCAGCTATGAGGGAAAACCATAGGTAGGAATGAAGATTGTAGTGTGAGGCCAGCCCCAGCAAAAATTCAAGACCTTACCTGAAAAATAACTAAAGCAGAAAAAGGGCTGCTATTCAAATGAATTATAATGTATAAAATACATGAAAATTAAAATTTTCACCTGGTACTGGTGGTACACACCTATAATCCTAGCTACTCATGACCAAGATCTGAGTCTGAAGTCAGCCCTGGCAGAAAAGTCCCCCTGAGACTTATATCTCCAATTACCTCTAAGAAACCGGAAGTGGCACTGTGGCTCAAGTGATAGAGTGCTAGTTTTAAGCCCCACAACTAACGACAACAAAATTTCTAGTACCCACATTTAAAAAGTAAAAAAGAATATGAATGCTTATTTAGACATTCAAACTTTTAAAACATTTTGGCATACAATATTTTTAAAAACTATTAATGAAGTATTTTATATTTTCTCAGTGTTGAAAGTTTGGTGTACACTTACATCACATTTCAATTCACACTAACCACATTTCAAGTGCTCAGTAGCTGTATGTGGCTACCAATTAGAGTACTGGAAAATCTAGGCTGGATAGTCAGAACGAAGAACAATAACAAATGTGCTTGTTATTTCTGGGAATGCAAAGGACAGTTCTGTTTTTTTTAGGTTTTTCCCCCCCCCAAAACCAAGAATGAATTTATTTTATTAGCCAGCTGTTTGACTTTAAAAAACGAAAAGAAAAAAATCTTAGCGTTTTGGTAAGGTGAAGAGAAGGAAAACTTTGAATAAACATGGATGTGAGGGGTATGAGTAGGCTATAGGAAGAAGGACTGGAATTTAGACTAAGAGAAATTATGCTTCATGTTATTATGGATGAGTCTCAAAGTGAGGATGGGGTCACATACAAAAGGAACATTCAGTTTTGTAGTAAAGACCTAGGTCCAGGAATATGTTTCTGATATGAAAGGTTCCTAGTGAGCCAAGGAATTTTCCCCAGCCTTTACTTTGTCCTATAGCTGTCCACATGAGATAAATACTGCAAAGTATATAGTGCCTGAGAGCAGGTATTACCCCTGGAGTATTTGGTCCCTGGAACTACTTTTTAAATAGTATTTTTCTTTTGAGGCATGGGGATTCTGAGGATTGAACATTCAGACACTTCTGTTTATGTCTTCGTTTATCTCCTCTTCCCCATAAGAAAACATAGGACAATGTGTCAGAGAATGCACATAGAAAAAAAGAGAAAATAAACGGTAGAAGAGAAAGATGAGAGTGCAGAATTATGGTCTTAAACATAATGCATATACCAGGGTGCCTCTTAATGTATTAAAATATTTAATGAAGATTTTTTTTTTCATCAAAGAGGAAAAGTGTAGGTGAGGCTAGGGGAAACATGGTATAGACTAAAGGGATATAATCCAAGAGAAATACTTGCTTTACCATTGTACTTAAAATTATCTTACTTGCTTTCTTCATAGTTGTGCCACTGCATATGTTCTACTGGCTGAGGAAGAAGCAACAACTATTGTAGATGCTGAAAGGTTATTTAAACAGGCCCTCAAAGCAGGAGAAACAATTTATAGGCGATCTCAACAATGCCAGCACCAAAGTCCTCAACATGAAGCTCAACTGAGTAAGCAAATTTGAACTGATTTTTTGGGGGGCGGGGGGAGGTCCGGTCGTGGGACCTGAACTCTGGGCCTGGGCGCTGTCCCTCAGCTCTTCAGCTCAAGACTAGCGCTCTACCACTTGAGCCACAGTGCCACTTCCGGCTTTTTTCTTTTTGCTTATGTGGTGCTGAGGAATCGAACCTAGAGCCTCATGCATGCAAGGCAAGTGCTCTACCACTGAGCCAACCTTCCCAGCCCTGAACTGATTTTTATTGTCTTTTTAGCGTCTGTAAAAATAATGAAAATAATAATAATAGCTTACTATTTAGAGGTTAATTTTTTATGAGATAGTAGATAAGATTAGTTTTCTAGTCAACTAGTACCTGTAAGAAAAGAAGACAAAAATTATATACTAGCCAAAATGCTTATGGCATTTTGCTCTGATTATTTGGGAGAAATTTGCTGTTCTAAGACTAAGCTGTTTATTTAATCTAAAAATCAGGCCAGCTATTAGAGAAGCAATTCGAAAGTGTTTGGGCCAAGCTCACACACTAGGTTTACAGGCTCACACCTGTAAACCTAGCTACTCAAAAGGATAAGATCAACTCATGTAACTGTAACCCCTCTCTACAGTATCTTTACAATGAAAAATATCTATTTAAAAAAGGCTAAGATCAGTGGATCTTGGTTTGAAACCAGTCTGATAGACCCCATGTCCAATTAACCTGCAAAAAAGACAGACAGAAGGTGTGGCTCAACGGTAGAGTACCAGCCAGGAATGAGAGCATAAAGCCTTGAGATTGAGCCTCAGAACTAACAAAACAAAGTTTTCAAAAACTATAGGATTTAGAAGAATATTCTAAGTGCTAACTAGTATAGAGAATATCCTCCTGTAGAAAAGTATTACCTTTACCTTTAGCTCATCCTTTTTCAAAGCAATAGTAGATGCAAGTCTTTTGTTGTGCCTCTAGGGATTGAACCCAGAGGCCTTTGCATGCTAAGCAAGTACATGACCAGCTCAGGCACAAACTTCTGTTTGTTCTTCAGACTGTGTATGTACATATAGTGTGAGGAGTGGCTTCCTTCCTTTCCTCCCTCCTCCCTCATTCTTTCTGTCCCCCTTTCTGTCCATCTTTAACAATGCAGAGTTAATGGTTATTTTTCTTTATTTTTTTTTCACTACTGGGTCTGGGTTTTTTGTTCTTGTTTTTATTTTTATTTTTTTCCAGTCCTGGGGCTTGAATTCAGGGCCTGGGCACTGTCCCTGAGCTTCTTTTGCTTAAAGCTGGCACTCTACCACTTGAGCCACAGCACCACCTCTGGCATTTTCTGTTTATGTGGTAGTGAGGAATCGAACCCAGGGCTTAATACTTGCTAGGCACTCTACTACTAAGCCACATTGCCAGCCGTGGGTCTGGGTTTTTTCTTTACATTTCTAGATATGCTCTTTTGGTAATGATTGAAACACTCTTACCAAAGATGTTAGAATCAGCAGTGCTGCTGCTTATTATTTTTTTGTGCCCAGAAGGTTTTAGTTTTATGATTTGGGCAGAGAGTAGGCAATAAATTGAATTATATTTACATAATGCATTATCTGTTAACAGTTAACTTTTGAATCTTTTGTTTGTGGAAATTAAAATTCTGATGATGTTTTTCTCCCTGAGTTAAATACTGGTGTTTACAGTATATTTTATTAATGTATGTTATGAGTAATGAGGAGAATAGTTAATTTTGTAGCCTAGAAGTAATTTACCCATGTAAAGAAGTTGTGCCATTTGTCCTTCTCTAATATCAAATATAGTTATGTTATGGAACTTTGTTATCCCTCTCTAGAAATAGTTTTATAATTTATTTACTAGCTATTAAGAGAACTTCGTTAGACACAGAAATTTTGTTTTGGAAATAATGCATTTTTTTAATTGGAACAATAAAGAATGTTTTGTGCACACACATACATACACATAAAGACGCATGCACTTGGGGCTGGGAAGGTGGCTTAGTGGTAGAGTGCTTGCCTCGCATGCATGAGGCCCTGGGTTTGATTCCTCAGCACCACATAAACAGAAAAAGTCAGAAGTGGTGCCGTGGCTCAAGTAGTAGAGCACTAGCCTTGAGCTGAAGAGCTGAGGGATAGTGCCCAGGCCCAGAGTTCAAGCCTCATGACCAAAAAAAAAAGATTAAAAAGGAAGAAGCACACACTTTGAAAAATGGAGGAGTAGAGAATAAGAATACAGCAACATACTAGAAGGAATTATAGGACCTGGGGTGATAGCCCAGTGGTAGAGTACATGCCTAGAATGCTAGAAGTCCTGAGTTCGATTCCCAAAGCTACCTAAATACATATATTTTTTAATGGGAAAGCATTGATGATTTATACAGAAGCTTACAATAATAAGCTAATGTTACATCTTCTATTAATCTATGGATTTATTTCTGTTAATATTAAAATTCATTAATCAGTTATATCAATTATCAATTATATATATATACTGCACTTGAAATATTATTGGCAAAAGTAAACTCTATAAGCTTTTACTTTGAAAGTAGGGAGCACTTTCACTCAATATTCATCACCTAATAATCATTGGTTCAATGACCAATAATATTCCTCCAGTCTGATACAATTTAATTTTACTTGAATCTTCCAAGATAAGCAGATAAAATTAATAGGCAACACATTAGTGAAATAGCAGGTTATAATAGAAAATTGATGGTTGAGTCAATTTTGTGTGTTTTTTTTAAATAGGGAGAGATACCAATGTGCTGGTATATATTAAAAGAAGATTGGCAATGTGTGCAAGAAAATTAGGAAGAATAAAAGAAGCAGTGAAAATAATGAGAGATGTAAGTAAATTTGATAACTGAATCATTCAAAACCAAAATGTATTTTAAGTTGCCAATTATTTTAATGCAGAATCATTGTCACTGGCAATTTTTGTAAGAAGGTATTTAATATATACATATATTTATCAAAGGTTGGGTGGGTCTTCACAGTTTTATAAAGAAGCAAAGAATAATGAATCTATTTCAGCTCTGTTGAGTTCCTATTATGATTTTAATCTTTTTTTCCTCTTAATGCACAGTTGATGAAAGAATTTCCTCCTTTTACCATGTTGAACATCCATGAAAATCTCTTAGAATCACTTTTAGAGTTACAGGCCTATGCAGATGTTCAGGCAGTACTAGCAAAATATGATGGTGAGTTTTATGTCTTGATAAAATGGTTTTCTCATTTCAGTTGTGTAATTATAAATGTGATCCTATTCATCTGTTTCCCTGACTTTATCTTTTCAATATTATCATACAGCATTTAGTATATAGCAGTCCAAGTTGCTGTTAAGTATCTTTAACTGGATTTTTGGTAGAAGAACCTGAAGAACTTTTCTGTAAAGATTATTTCTTTGCTTATTGAGTATGTAATATGAGTAGGCACTTGGAACACAATGGTGAAGAAGAGGACACAGAATTAGGACTTGGAGGATTTGCAGTGTAGTGGAATGTACAGAGAATTGAACATAACAATAAAGACAGTTTGTTAGGTGAAATCTTTGGAAAAGTATAATGCTATTCACCTAATTTATTTTGAAATATCAAGCAATAAAAGATAACAGAAGGTGCTGAATAGTGTTTTTAAGAGTAACAAAGAATAATTCAAAATGACATTTTTACCCTGCCTTTTAGTTACAGTTACTTGCAGTAAACATGACAGGTGATAGGACAAGTAGTTTCACTCTTTCCATTTACTAAATTAGGAAACTGGGGTTTAAGAAAGTTAAATATTAGGTGGTATCTTCCAGCCAGTAAATGGCCAGCCAAAACTTAAATCCAAGTATTCAATTTCTTTGTTCACTAGTCCTCTCACAACCATAATTCAGTATACATTAACAATGCTAATTATTATAACAATGCAGTTTACTGAAAATGGAGTTAGGAAAACGTTAAAGACATAAACTTTCTCATCCTTCAGAGGAGACATCAGCTTTCAACCCCAAGCTGAAAACTTCCTCATGAACATAATGTTTCTGGCCATATCTTCCATTATGACAGAGCATATAAAGTCATTTATATTTATACTTGTCTTGACATAGGTTCCTATATATTAGCTTGAGAATCTCCATGATTTGGAAACTTTGAAATGTGTTATACTTGGAAGTTTATTTATTTTTAACATCTGGAATTCTTAGGCAAAATTCCAGATACTTCAGAATTGTGTAGACTTAGGGAGAAATTTGCAAGAAATTCCTTCCATATGTAACTTGCTGGATGCATAACCTGCTTACGATATTTGTGCTGAAAGTTTAGGGACTAAATATAAAAAGTCAGAATAAGAGCTAGATGTGGTGGCTTATGCCTGTAATCCTAGCTGTTGAGAAGGTGGGAATTGAGAGCACTGTGGTTCAAGGAAAAAGTTTTGGAGAGTCACCTCAACCAATGAAAGTTGAGTGTGGTGGTACATCTGCTTGAGATTGAGGTTCAGGCTATCTCAGGCATAATGTGAGACCTAACTAAAAAATAATGAAAGCAAAACATCTGAGCTCATGGCTTAAGTAGTAGAGTGCCTTCTTAGCAAGTACAAAGCTCTGAATTTAAATGCCAGTTCTGCCTCTTCCAAAAAATTCAGAATAAGACCCAATTCATTAAAGTAAAATCAGGTAAAACTAATAAAGCCAAAGTTGCTGTGCTTCTATTGTCAGTTTTCATATCTCTCAGTTTTTATCATCCTTTAGAATCCTAAAGTCATTAAAAGCAAATATTCTTCCTTAGTGTAACTGGAATTTAAAAAATCCAGTTTGTCATTCTTACTCTTTTTTTTTGTCGGTCTTGGGGCCTGAACTCTGGGCTTGGGTGCTGTCCCTTACCTCTTTAGTGCAAGGCTAGTACTCTACCACTTAAGCCACAGCACCACTTCCAGCTTTTTCTGATTATGCAGTGCTGAGGAATCGAACCCAGGCCCTCATGCATGCAAGGCAAGCACTCTACCACTGAGCCACCTTCCCAGGCCCCATTCTTACTCTTTTGATAATGCTATTTTAGGCATTCTTGTAAATTTTTATTTTGTTTATACTCCCAAATTACTTTTTATCATTTTATAAAAAGTATTATTTAAGAAGATATGGAAAATACAGAAACTTAAGACAAAGGAAAAATAAAAATCACCCTTGTTTGTTTCAACAGTAATTGGTTTAACAGAATATATTTAATTTTTTATAATCTTAATTTTTCTGTATGATTAGATGTGTTTATATATACATATATTTATATAATTATAGCTTTTCTCCTGAATCCTCTTACTGTAAACCTTTGTTGAGCACTTGCCAGCAATGTGCACAGGGTTCTCAAAGACAGTTACTCCCTGCCAGAAAGTAGCATTCTCTCTTTAGAGAAGTAGAAACTGAGAGCAAAGAAATTGTTATCAGCCGGGCGCCGGTGGCTCATGCCTGTAATCCTAGCTACTCAGGAGGCTGAGATCTGAGGATCATGGGATACAGGTTGACCCACTGCAACAATGAGACATACAAGTCCTATGTCGTAAACGAACTTTACAACTTTGGTAGGGGGGAGAGAAGGGTTGGGTGGGAGGGCGGGGGGAGGATGGGATGGGAAGGGGAAACAAAGGAGGAGGCTACAATACTTGATAAGAAATGTACTCACAAGGGCTGGGAAGGTGGCTCAGTGGTAGAGCTTGCCTTGCATGCCTGAGGCCCTGGTTCGATTCCTCAGCACCACATAAGCAAAAAGAAAAAAGCCCGAAGTGGCGCTGTGGCTCAAGTGGTAGAGTGCTAGCCTTGAGCTGAAGAGCTGAGGGACAGCGCCCAGGCCGAGTTCAGGCCCCATGATCGGACCCCCCCCAAAAAGAAAGAAATGTACTCATTATCTTACCCATGTAATTGTATCCCCTCTGTACAGTATTTTCACAATAAAAAAAAAAGAAAAAAAAGTTCAAAGTCTGTGAGACTCTTATCTCCAATAAACCACTAGAAAACCGGAAGTGGCGCGATGGCTCAAGCGTAGAGTGCTCGCCTTGAGCTGAAGAGCTCAGGGACAGCACCCAAGCCCAGAGTTCAAGCCCCACGACCAACCAAAAAAAAAAAAGAAACAAAGAAATGGCTATCAGCTCATAAATAGTAGCTAGTAGAATAGTAGATAGTAGAATTAGGTATTTTAACTATGTGTCTAAGTACTTCTACCACTATAATACACCTGTTGGATTTGCATATTAATTAGGCTTATAAAAATTATCGTAAGACATTTAAAATAATTCTTACCTTATTTAAAAATTATTGTTACAGATATAAGCCTTCCAAAGTCAGCAGCAATCTGTTATACAGCAGCACTATTAAAAACAAGGACTGTCTCAGATAAGTAAGTAGTTACTAACCTATAGTAATTTGGGAAGACTGCTAAACTCAATATTTTGTTTCTTCTTCACTGACTTTATTAATTTTATTTATTTAATTATTTAAGACAGGATCTTGCTAAATAGCTCAGGCTGGCCTTAAACTTGCAATTTTTCTGCCTCAGTCTCCAAAGTGCTGGGATTATAGGCCTGAACTTCCATGCCCTGATCTACCACTGAGTTAAAAACTGTTTTTTCCTTTCTGCTTCCTTCTGAATAATTCTTGATCTTCTGTAACTTTGAGGCCTTTCAATTTGTGTATTGGAAAGCAAAAATGTTAGAATTAATTTAATAGGAATTTAATTCAGACTTTATCACATACTAGCTGTAGAACTTTGGACAAGTTCATTACTTTGAGTTATTCCTCATCCTCAAAATAAGAATGTTATCATAGGATGAGTTGTGAAGATTATATATATGCAGAGCACCTAAAGCAATGACTAGAAAGAGAGTATGCTCAACTGGCCATCAATGGCTCATAAATGTAAGCCTAGATATTCAGGAAGCTGAGATCTCAGAATCACAGTTCAATGACAGCCAGCTCCAAAAAGCTGGAAGTAGAGGTATAGCTCAAGTGGTAGTATGCTAGCCTTGAGAAAAACAAGTTAGGGACAGTGCCCAGGCCCTGAGTCCAAGCCCCAGGACTGGCACCAAAAAAAAAAGTACACATGGTAAATTGTGTCTGGTAGGGAAATAGGTTTCATGTTGTCTGTTCTTAGATTGTGATTGAATTACTATGCTTTCCTTCTGTTTTTGTCTATCCTTAATAAATTTTCTTTATATGGCAAATAAGATATATACAGAAACTTGCCAGTGAGATCCTTTGCCAAAATAAAAAGATATTCAGAAATGAACCAGCTACACACTAGTGTCTCATGCCTGTATTCCTAATTACTCAGGAGGCTGAGCCCTAAAGAGCAAAGTTTGAAGCTAGCCTGGGCAGAAAAGTTCATGAGACTCTCACCTCCAGTTAATGGGCAAATAAAACAGAATTGTAGGCATGGCTATAGAGATATAGGTCCAGCTTTGAATAGAAGAGGGCTGAGCAAAAGCATGAGACTCTGAGTTGAAGTCCTAGTATCAGCATATACAAAAGAAAGAGACAGAGTGCCCATTTTCTTTTAGTAAGTATTCCTTGATATAAATTACAGTGAATATTCATTATCTTTCTTCTTAGCTAAAATTTTGATGAAAATGTACTTCTGTTTCTTGAGATTTTTCTGGTTGCCCCTGCCCTTGATAGCATTTCTTATTATCTTTGAAATTTCAACAGCATTGAGATTTGAACTCATAGCCTTGTACTTGCTAAGCAAGTGCTATACCACTGAACCATGTTTCCAGCCCTATTTTACACTGGTTATTTTTGAGATAGTATCTTATTTTTTGCCTGGGTACACACATGGACCATGATCTACCTATTTTTCACTTCTTGTTGCTGAAATTACAGCCATGTCTCAGCTTCTTCCATTGAGATACGGAGTCTTGTAAACTTTTTGCCAAAGCTGTCCTTCCTCCTAAGTAGCTAGGATTACAGGTGTGAGCCACTGACACTCAGTTCGTGTTTTTATGTTGAACTAGATGCTTTACTTTCATTTGTAGTAATTATATGCTTTTATCTTTGGCTGTTATCAGAAACCTCTGATTCAGGGGCTATATTGTAGTCCTAACTCCATAATTTTCTTTTTTTTTTATTTGTTCATTTCTTCATTTTGTCTTTTTTTTCCCCACAGATTCTCTCCAGAAACAGCCTGCAGAAGAGGATTAAGCACAGCAGAAATCAATGCTGTGGAAGCAATTCATAGAGCTGTGGAATTTAATCCTCATGTTCCAAAAGTAAGAAATTTTTAAATGAAAATACTAATTTTTTTAAGCTTACTAAATTGATTGCAGTGTTGTAGACCAAAGTTCAGGTTGCCACAATTTGGGTTGGAATTGCTTTAGTGTGTAGTATTCTGATGTTTACTATGTACATTAAAGGGGACGTTAAAAGGCTTGCCTAGCATGCATGAAGACCTAGGTTCAAGTCCTTAGTACTACATTAACAGAATAAGCCAAAAGTGACACTGTGGCTCAAATGGTAAAGTGCTAGCCTTGAGCAAAAGAAGCTTGGGGACAGTACCTAGGCCCTGAGTTCAAGCCCCAGAACTGGCAAAAAAAAAAAAAAAAAAGAAAGCACTACATAGAAAGGAGATTAGAAGCAGTTAGTTTACCATGAGCTTTGTAATTATTGCCAAAATAAAATTTGATTTTTGTTTACTGAGCTTTTTTTTTTTCCAGAGCTGGGAATGGAACTCAGTGCCTTATGCATGTTAGCTGAGTGCTGCTCCACTTAGCTATACTTTTATTATAGTTATAGAGGAATAATCAAAAGGCTTGGTCTTAACAAAAGATTATTTATATTTCAGATCAGTAAATTTCCTATTAAAATAAAAACTTGGTTAAGACCTAAATTTTGAACTAGGGCTAAGTACATAAAAAACAAAAACAAATGAATTAAAATAATGATATGAAACAGATGTGAACTTCTTAAAAGAATTGCTGAGTTCATGCTTATTTGGTTCCAGATTAAACAATTTATTTTATTTGTCTTTATATTGTATTCTTTGTAATCGTACAAATTATTTGTTGATATTTGTATATTATTACCTATACACCTAAACTCCAAGATTTAAAATTTGGGGGGCTGGGAAGGTGGCTCACGGGCTGGGAAGGTGGCTCAGTGGTAGAGCACTTGCCTTACATGCCAGAGGCCCTGGGTTTGATTCCTCAGCACCACATAGGCAAAAAAGAAAAAAAGCTGGAAGTGGCGCTGTGGCTCAAGTGGTAGAGCACTAGCCTTGAGCTGAAGGGCTGAGGGACAGTGCCCAGGCCCAGAGTTCAGGCCCCATGACCGGACCCAAAAAAAAAATTTAAATTTATAATGTCTCAGAGACTATAAAATATTCAAGGATACCCTTACCACAAAATACAATACCAGGATGTGTTAATAGTGAAAGCCAGTAGTCAGTAAAGAGATGACTATTGAGACAATCTCCTCAGTAAAGAGATGACTATTGAGACAGTCTCCTAGAAGAGGAAATTATAAAGTTGTTCAGTAAGTTTACTGTTAAAGAAAGTGAATAACCTGGTGCTGGTGGCTCACACCTGTAATCCTAGCTACTCAGGAGGCTGAGATCTGAGCATCGCAGTTCAAAGCCAGACTGGGCAGGAAAGGCCATGAAACTTTTACCTCCAATAAACCACCAGAAAACTGGAAGTGGCACTGTGGCTTACTGTAGTATAGTGCTAGCCTTGAGCTGAAGAGCTGAGGGACAGTACCTAGGCCCAGAGTTCAAGCCCTACGACCAACCAAAAGGAAAGAAAAGAAGAGAGAGAGAGAGAGAGAGAGAGAAGGAGGAGAGAATATATGGCATAGTGAATTACTGACTGGGTGTGGTGGTGCACACCTGTAAATCCAGCACTGAGGAGACGATAGTAGAATGATTGCAAACTTGAGGCTAGCCTGGCTGAATAGCAAGACCCCATTCTAAAAAAAGAAGTACTGAAATCTAGGGCTGAGCAGGGGTAGATTGCTTATCTGGCTTGTTTGATCCCCAGTAACTCAAAATAAGTAAACATAAATAAATAAATGACTGAAATCCAAGAATAAGAATCAACAAATATTTTATAGCATTCTCTTATTCAGTGACACTGGTTCTACAAATTTAATTTTTCTTTTTTCTTTTTTTGTCAGTCATTGGGCTTGAACTCAGGGCCTGGACACTGTCCCTGACCTTTTGCATTCAAGGATAGCGCTCTACCACTTAAAGCCACAGGGCCTCTTCTGGTTTTCAGGTGATTTTTCTTTCCTCCCTGGCTGGCTTTCCTGCCTGGCTGGCATTGAACCACAATCTTCAGATCTCAAACTTCTGAGTAGCTAGAACTACAAATAGGAGCCACCAGCACCTGGCTCAAATTTAAATTTTTATTACAGATTATACTACATGTGCACTATAGTGGCAAAATGAAATGTGCATTTTATTATTTATTTGTTTATTTATGTATTTATGCCAGTCCTGGGGATTGAATTCAGGGCCTGAGTACTGTTCCTGGGCTTCTTTTTGCTCAAGGCTAGCACTCTATCACTTGTGCAAAGAGTGCCACTTCCAGCCTTTTCAGTTTGTGTGTTACTGAGGAATCGAACCCAGGGTTTCATGCATACTAGGCAAGCACTCTACCGCTAAGTGACTTTCCCAGCCTGAAATGTGCATTTTAATATATAGCAAATGCTAGGAAACTAGCACTGAGGTTAGAAAACAGAATACTGTCAGCCTGAGAAACCTACTTGATTGCCCATTCCCATTTAAAACCTCTTTCCTCACCACTATTTTGATATTAGTTATGCTTAGCTCCTCCTTTTTTGTAGTTTTACTCTACATTTACTGATTTATAAGCAAGTTAAAAGAGTGACGTCTCTGTTTTTTATTCCCTAGAATAATTTGTGTAAAGTCAGAATTATGTCTGCTTAATATTAATTTTAGTTAATTGATTTAATTTAATTTTAATTTACTTAATATTAATATTAATTATTTCTGAAAAATAGAATTCATTTGTAAATTCATTTGATTTTGGAATTTTCTTTGTGAGAAGCTATGATGTATGAATTTCGTATCTTTAGTTTAATTACTCAGTTACAAATATATTTCTCTTGGTTTTGTTTTTTTGTTTTTGTTTTTGTCAGTCCTGGGGCTTGAACTCAGGACCTGGGCACTGTTTCTGAGCTTCTTTTTGCTCAAGGCTAACCCTCTACCACTTGAACCACAGCACCATTTCCTGCTTTTTATGTTTATATGGTACTTTGGACTCTTAGTTTTTAATAGTTGAAAGTTTCTAATATTTGTTTCATCAAAAACTGCAAACTTACTACATAAATTTATAAAATTCTTTTATTGTATTTGCAGAATCAGTTGTAATTGACATGTATGTATATTATATTTTAATCAAAATAATCCCTTCTATTGCTCTGTTTTCCCACCATTTTCAGCTTTGTAACATTGACTACATTTTCCCCCCTTGGTCAGATTCCCCAGGGGTCTGTCTTTTTAAGCTTCTATTATTTGGTTTGGTTTTTTGTTTGTTTGTTTGCCAGTCCTGGGGCTTGAACTCAGGGCCTGGGTACTGTACTGAGCTTCTTTTGCTCAAGGCTAGCACTCTACCACTTGAACCATAGCACCACTTCTGCCTTTTTCTTTTTATGTGGTACTGAGGAATCTAACCCAGGGCTTTGTTCATGCAAGCACTCTACCACTAAGCCACATTCCCAGCCCCTATTATTTGTTTTCTGGTTCATTAATTTCTGTTCTATATTGCCTTCCTTTAACTTTGCTTAGATTTGTTTCATTCTATTTTATGTTCCGTATCTTCTTACATAGTTATTTCACACCTTAATTTTCAGTATGCCTTTTTTCTTACTTACTAGGGCAAATTTTTAACAATAGCAATATTTTTATATATTTTAGTTAAAATGTTTTCTAATTTCCATTATGACTCTTTGATTTATTCTATCTAGAAGTTTCTCAATGTGTGTGTGTTTGTGTGTGTGTGTGTGTGTGTGTGTGTGTATGTGTGTATGTTGGGGTTGGGGTAAATATGGGTTATAAAGTGTGTTCAAGGCTAACTTGGACTATGAAGTGAAACACTGTCTCAAAAAAACAAACCCAAAACAAGCCAACAGCCTATATACTTACAATGATGAATTTTATTCGAAGTAAAATATACCTTTAATAAAACTGTTATATATACATACATAAATACACATACTTATATACACATATGCCTATATAGTCATGCACTTTAACATTTAATGTTAGTTTTATTTATAGGTAAAAATTTACTTATTTCTCCTCAACTAAATACCAAACCAGTCAACAATTCCACTCCATGGAAATAATTCAAATGAATGCTCCAATCTGAATGCATAGTATTATTTGTGCTTTAGTCTAGTTTTATCCAACAGGATCTTAGATAGTGTTAAGAAAATGAAAAGGCAAAAGACTAGTAAAGGATTTATATGTTTAGAATGTATAGACAACTCAATTCTTAAAAAAAGAAGCAGCCTGCTGCTGCTCAGCAACAGCAGCCGCCACCACCAGGCATGATGGCGCTTGCCTGTAATTCTAGCTACCTAGAAGGTAGATACTTGAGGATAATAGTTTGAATTACACCTTAATAAAGAAGCAAAAGTGTGACAGCACAGAAAGCACTGTAAAAAGTAGCTAAGCTTTTTGATGAAATGAGATGCTGATATATAAAATGCTCAGCATAGTGTCTGAGTATCAAGCATCAGTGTTGATTTTATTTATGGATTTTTTAAAATAACAGTACTGGGGTTTTAACTGAGAGGCTAGTACTTGCCGGATAGATGATCTACTGATGAACCATACCTACAGCCCTTCTTTTTTTCCTGTTACTGTTGTTTCATTCTATTTAATTTTCTTTGTGAACTGTTACTTTAGGACTTACAACCTTAGAATGACTCAGGTTTGGGGATTCCTTTATTGAGAGGAGGTAAAGGTGAACATATTGAGATAGTTAACAGTAACTAATTTGAATTATTTAACATTCCAAGGACATTGTAACTTACAAGAGAAGTTTTCAAGAGTAAGGGGAAAAGAACATTCTTTTTTTGGGGGGGTGGAAGGGCGGTCCGGTTGTGGGGCCTGAACTCTGGGCCTGGGCGCTGTCCCTCAGCTCTTCAGCTCAAGGCTAGCGCTCTACCACTTGAGCCACAGTGCCACTTCCGGCTTTTTTCTTTTTGCTTATGTAGTGCTAAGGAATCGAACCCAGGGCCTCAT